TCAGTTTTCCACAGGCACATCCTCCGGAACCCCCGGGAAGAGTCGGGCTGGGCAGGGCTGTGCCTGGAGCCACCGGTGTCTCTGCTGCTGCTGCTCCGGCTTCCCCCGGCCTTTCCTCCTCCTCAGCAGAAAGAAATGAGGGGGTGCGTGTTTCGGCAGCAGGACGGGCCGGTGCGGAGCCGAAGAGCCGGCCCTCGGCTGGGAACGGGCACCGAGAGGCCGGGGCAGCTCCACCCGGGGCCGGGGAACCCGCTGCTGGTCCAGCCTCGGCGGAAAAGGGGGTGCTGGTGAGCGCCCCCCCCCGCTTTCTCCCCCCACCCCCCAGGGCCGTGCAGTCAAGCGCAGGAGAATGCATAGGGTTTTAAAGATTTTTTTATTATTATTATAAAGAGTAAACCAGGAATTTGGGGAGAAATAGGGAAGGTGTGAGCTGGTTTTAGTTTAGGTGTTATCCTAAAGTCTATTGAGCTTCTCTGTGACTTTCTAGGTGCCATCAGTTTCAATTGATTTTGATGTAGCCAGGATCAATCCTTTGCTACTTAATTGTATTATAGCTGTCTGTGTCTTTGAAAACAATTACAGAGCTATCTATCAATCTAGCTGCACCAATAAAAATGACCTCGTATAATTATAACTAATAAAAAAATTAGTTTATGCACATTGATTATGACTATCTTACCAAAAGGCTGCCATTTATTAAATAACCTCATGAACAAGATGGATTGCAAGTATAATGAGGTGGATCTGTGTTAGCATATGACATTATCAATCAAAAATACAACTGTCCAGGTAACCTGCACTTAGGCAGGCACAAAACAGAAAAGAATGATGGACTGTTTCAGAGTAAGCTAGCCCCCCTGGTTGTCTTTGATGTTTACCCTTTCTCAGTCTAATTTACACAAAGTTAGAAATAGCTACAGACCCACATAGGGCAGTAGCATGCATGTCGTTAATTACTAAAGTGCAGTCTGTTCTCTAGCCAAATGAGGAGTTCTCTCATGTCCTATGCCAAATATAATGGGCATAGTTAGTGCATGAGATGCCAGATTCCAAATTTGGTCTAACCAGGGAATCCTCAATTAGCTAATTTTAGCCATTTTCAATACTGTGTGCTACTTAAGTGTAGTACAGGTTGTTGGAACAAGGCAGTGTTTGGACATAGAGGTCATTAAATAGTTTTTTCATGTGTGAGAAACTATTTCCCAGTGGTAGATGAAATCCATTAAAGCATATTATTAAATGTCATATTTCCTCATGAAGGTTGAACCGTCCATGTGTTTCAATGCAGTACAGTTTTGCTGTAATGTGCAATAGTCTGTTATCCCTTTTCCAACTTATTTACCTCTTTTTTTTTGCTTAGCTTTTTCTCTGACAGTCTGTCTTAGAATAACCTGCACTTTAAAAGTCATTGGCCACATGGGTTGGATTTCCATTGAACCACCCGCCCCGCCGCTCACTTGCGACGCTTGGTGGTTTTCCTCTTCCTTCTCTTGAAGAAACAGCAGCACCTGGGGACGAGGGGACACGTCAGCGCACAGACACGGGGGGTTCAGCAGCCCAGGGGGGGAAAGAAAGCCCTCGGGGTCCTGGGGAGCCCCAGGGGGGCAGAGCTGCTCTGGGAAGTGTCCCCAGCGCGTGGCGGGGGCGGGACAGGGAGCACCAGGATGGCCACGGCGAGGGACAATGACCAGGGAGAGTGACAGTGGCCATGGCATTTTTTTTTCCTTTTTTTCTCTTTTTGACGGACGCAGGAACTTCAGCGAAGTCGGGCTTGGTTCGAGTAAACGGCCACGCGCCGGGGGGCGAGTGGCGGAGGAAAAAGGACAAGCAGTTTGGGGAGGCCCCGCTCCCCGCCTGCGCGTGGGGCGCTGGGGGAGCCCGTCCGGCCCGACCCCCCCCCGGCCCCCGCCGAGCCGAGGGGCCGCCGCCGCCTCCGCGGGGTCCAGATCCAGCCCCGGCCGGAGGGAGAGGAGCCATCGCACACCCGCTCCACCCGCCCCGCCGCTCACTTGCGACGCTTGGTGGTTTTCCTCTTCCTTCTCTTGAAGAAACAGCAGCACCTGGGGATGAGGGGACACATCAGCGCCCGGACACGGGGGGTTCAGCAGCCGGGGGGGGACAGGAAGCCCTCGGGGTCCTGGGGAGCCCCAGGGGGGCAGAGCTGCTCTGGGAAGTGTCCCCAGCGCGTGGCGGGGGCGGGACAGGGAGCACCGGGATGGCCACGGCGAGGGACAATGACCAGGGAGAGTGACAGTGGCCATGGCACACAATGCTGGCCATGGCAAGTGACACCAACCAGGGCGAGTGACATCAACCAGGGCAAGTGACACTGGCCACGGCAAGTGACAATGACCAGGGCAAATGACACTGGCCATGGCACACAATGCTGGCCACAGCAAGTGACAATGACCAGGGCAAGTGACACTGGCCACGGCAAGTGACACCAACCAGGGCAAGTGACACTGGCCATGGCACACAATGCTGGCAACGGCAAGTGACACCAACCAGCGCAGGTGACACTGGCCACAGCAAGTGACACCAACCAGGGCAAATGACACTGGCCACAGCACACAACGCTGGCCACTGCAAGTGACACCGACCAGGGCAAGTGACACTGGCCATGGCACACAATGCCAGCCACAGTGAGTGACAATGACCAGGGCAAGTGACACTGGCCACAGCAAGTGACAACAACCAGGGCGAGTGACACTGCCCATGGCATGCAATGCTGGCCACAGCGAGTGACACATGAGGGGACACATCAGCGCCCGGACACGGGGGGTTCAGCAGCCGGGGGGGGACAGGAAGCCCTCGGGGTCCTGGGGAGCCCCAGGGGGGCAGAGCTGCTCTGGGAAGTGTCCCCAGCGCGTGGCGGGGGCGGGACAGGGAGCACCAGGATGGCCACGGCGAGGGACAATGACCAGGGAGAGTGACAGTGGCCATGGCACACAATGCTGGCCATGGCAAGTGACACCAACCAGGGCGAGTGACATCAACCAGGGCAAGTGACACTGGCCACGGCAAGTGACAATGACCAGGGCAAATGACACTGGCCATGGCACACAATGCTGGCCACAGCAAGTGACAATGACCAGGGCAAGTGACACTGGCCACGGCAAGTGACACCAACCAGGGCAAGTGACACTGGCCATGGCACACAATGCTGGCAACGGCAAGTGACACCAACCAGCGCAGGTGACACTGGCCACAGCAAGTGACACCAACCAGGGCAAATGACACTGGCCACAGCACACAACGCTGGCCACTGCAAGTGACACCGACCAGGGCAAGTGACACTGGCCATGGCACACAACGCTGGCCACTGCAAGTGACACCGACCAGGGCAAGTGACACTGGCCATGGCACACAATGCCAGCCACAGTGAGTGACAATGACCAGGGAGAGTGACACTGGCCATGGCACACAACGTTGGCCACAGCAAGTGACACCAACCAGGGCAAGTGACTGGCCACAGCGAGTGACACCAACCAGGGTGAGTGACACTGGCCACGGCAAGTGACAATGACCAGGGCGAGTGACACTGGCCACGGCACGCAATGCTGGCCATGGTGAGTGACACCAACTAGGGCAAGTGACACTGGCCATGGCACACAATGCCAGCCATGGCAAGTGACACTGGCCACGGCGAGTGCCGACCAGGGCAAGTGACACTGGCCATGGCACACCCCACAGCACGCAATGCTGGCCACAGCGAGTGACAATGACCAGGGCGATTGACACCAACCAGGGCAGGTGACACTGCCCATGGCACACAATGCTGGCCATGGCAAGTGACACCAACCAGGGCGAGTGACACTGGCCACGGCACACAATGCCAGCCACAGCGAGTGACACTGACCATGGCAAGT